GTGCCGGAGAAAGAGGACGAGGGCAAGCTGCTGCTGGTGTCGGGGGGAAGACGGGGCCCAGTTGGGGTGTCCCGTCTCCCAGGTTTCGGCACCACTGAAAGGAAAGGAGCGACACACAGCAGCAATTCACCGGAGAATTCCGCTTTATTAGGGAAAGGTGCTGGGTTATATAGGAAGGGGCATGGGGTGATTGTGGTGTTACTTCTACGGGGCTGGTGGCTGTTGGCTAGGTGCTGGGATTGGGAGGGGGGCGAGAGGTGATTGGGCTTCAGGTGGCGCCGGCGGGAACCGAGGACCCCAAAGAGAAGCTGGAAGTTTGCCATCTTACTGGTGCGGACCCTTCAGGTAGAAAGATATTTTCATTTACACAGACACACAAACATACAGACTGAGACATAATGATAAGGTTCCTCTGGCAGCCATCCAACATTAAAAACTGGCTACTCGCTAGAACAAAAAGTCTGCCACCGACCCTTTTGGACTTCCACACTGAGGTTGTAAAAGTGATTGGATTAAATGTTCCCTCCAGCAGCCAGCCAACGTCAAAGGACGGCCACTCGGAGGTGCAGAAAACACAAAATTTTCCCTTCCTGATGTCCGTGCTCAAAATGTGAGCTCTCTCCCTAATGTCTGAGAAAAATGGTCTGTCATGAGAGAGAAGGGGGTCATCTGAGTCTGTCCCATTTCCTCTGTTGACAAGACTAAGACAAACACGACAAACAACAAACAGGCGCCTACAGAGAAGAATCTGCCGTGACCGCGGAAGCAAAACTGAAAGTAAGTTGAGGGCCTGTCGGACTGCAGCGGCAGCCGACTTTCCTCACAGATGAGGACATCATCCTCCAGACGGGGGCATGGGACGTCTCCCAAGACCCCCGGTCGACAACCTGCCAGCGCGTCCTCCTAAGTCAATGCCGACCCTGATACAGATTGGAGCTCCTACAGGCTTATACAGGCTTGTTCGCGAACAAAAACAGTGAGACACAGACAGACAAAGACAGATAACTGAGTGCACTCACCAGCCGGCACAGGGCCCTCCGGGTCGGGAGTCCTGAGGGTCTCTGGGATCCCGGACGAGCCCCCAAATGTTGTGCCCAAAGTCACGAATCCCAAGGAGACCACCAAGGAGCCAACACGGATGCAAAAGCAAAGAGCCTTTATTCGAGCTAGCCCGGGCTCAGTCTCACGCCCGAGCTCAGTCTCACGCCCAGGCTCAATCTCACGCCCGTGCCAACACAGCGGCCGGGTGCCAGAGAAAGAGAGCGCGTTTTCTCCAGAACAAAGGTTTTATGGGTTTCCAGGGCGGTTTGGGGGGGGTGATGGCCATGGCTCTGACTGATTGCTGGGCCTGGGGGTAGTTGGGGGGTGACAAGTCGTGGCTTTGGTCAGTTTGCAGGGTCTAGGGGTGGTGGGTGCACTTCTTGCTGACTGGAGAGAGACTCAACTCCGACTGGCTGAAATAGGATCTGGGAGCTTGCCCTTTCAGCAGACACAACCCAGCAGCCTCCTAGGCCTCTGATGGACCCCACAGCCAGGGAAAGCCCTAAACGCTGCTCCGAAGGGCTCCCTGCCTGCCTCTGATCCTTTCTTTAAGATCAACCACCCAGAACCCCCTATGAGCCTGCGGCACCATTACCCTCTTCCACTTCAATGCTGTACTTGCTGTCCACGAGCCGCCACAGCCCCCCACTCCCTGCCAAGCCTGCCACTGGTCCTCATTCTGGGCGTACCGCCACAGATGACAACCTTCATCCTGATTCTCGCCACCAGCCAGAGTGGAGTACCCCAGACCCACCGACACCCCCATGAGAAGGGTAATTCCCTTCAGCAGCGAATGGGCGGCCACCCAGCCCCCAAGTCTTGCCTCCATGACAGCTCTGCCTCTTCCTTGTCTCCTGGCCATGCTTCCCATGGAAGCCTTGGCCATACAGCAGACGGTCCCACCACACACTTACTCCCTCATGCTGAGTCTCCCTCATCTGTCTGCGCCCACCATCCTCAACCATGTGCTGAGTGAGAGATCCAGTCTGCTGCCCCCTGCTTCTTCCTGACCTGCTGAGGGCATGACCACCACGGCCTGAAGAGCCCCTCCTAAATGCATTCTGTAGCTCCAGCCCAGTCCACACCTGACCACCACTTTTGGGTGTTTCCATCCTGAACTGCTCCCCAGATTTCCAGACTTGTGTGTCTAGCTGCCCACTTGCGGTCTCCACTCACTGTTTGCTGAAACTTCTCAGACTTTTCACAGGGCCAAACAAAACTGATATTCCCAACAAAAATCAACCTATCACCAAAGTAGCCATCCCGGTTCATGGAACATCTCTCTCTTCAGCTGGGAGCACCAAAATGGTGGGGTTCTCCCTGCTTCCTCCTTTTTATCCGTCACCTACAATAACCAAAAATCTTTTCACCGTTCTTAAAAAATGGACCCAGAACCCAACCACATCTCCTACCCCCACAGCCACCACTCTGGTCTCTTAATATTCATCTGGAGTATGTTAGGTCAAGAAAGCCAAGGAAACACAGGAGTCCAGGTGGGTGACAGAAAGATTTAATAGAACGCTTTCTGTTAAATGGTAGTGAAGGGCTGAGTCGGAGAGACTACAGTGTCAGAACAGGAGAGCATTTGGGCTTTATAAAAATCAGCCGTTTTTGTTCCCAAGTGCATGTTCCCAAGGATCTGGGCAGGACACAGGTGCAAGAATTTCCATCTCTCAGTATGGAAGAATATATTAGTGACATATCGGGTAAGGGGTTGACATCCAAAATGTATAAAGAGCTCACGCACCTCAACAATCAAAAAGCAAATAACCCGATTAAAAAATGGACAGAGGATCTGAACAGACACTTCTCTAAAG